GCTAACAAACGTTTATTTTCGTATCTCTTAATTAGGGCGTCATATGCGGTTCTATAATTTTGGTCAGTCATTGGGATTCTACTGACGATCGAGAGCGGTTCTTTACTGAGAGTCGAGATGAGATAACTAAATTTCTCAACGTTTGTAAGCGCATTTTGATTATGTACGGTGGAATTAAACATATCAATAAATGTTCTCCATGATTTAATATCCCCGTCAAACTTATACAATTCCATCGGAGGCAATTTAACGTGGTTTTTAATTGTGATATCTGATTGTGATGGCGTATCCGAATTTAAATTTTGAGTATGAACAGAATTTTGAAATATTTCATTATAAATAATTTGAATGCTAAAATAATCGCGATCAAAAGATTTACGAATGGTGTCATGCTCTTCAGTTTCTTCGTCGAGACCACCTAATTCTTTTAAAACTTCATTATGATAAAGATAAAAATCTGAATACATGCGTTCTATGAAATTATATCGGGCTTTGAGTTCCGGGTACAAACTCTCGTACAATTCTTCTTTTCTTGAAACCCGATCCGCAATGTCTTTTAAATCGGACAACTGATCTACAGCGACCTTGCTTAACACAACAGCTTTTTTAAATTTTGCCTGAGACATCGTCGAGAATGCGATAAATACTTATTGGCAAATTTAAAAAGATTGCAGTCGAATAAATGGGATATTGAGCAACTTTACCAATGCCACCATTTGATAAAAGCGAGGTTATGTTTATGTTTATAGAGAGGTTATGTTTACAACGCAGAAAGTGATATTTTGGAACGAGACAATCCGGCTCGAAGGACCAATGTTTCGCGGCGGAGAGAACGATAGGGAAGAGGTAAATGAAAATTCCTACCTTTGAGTGCTCCCACGTAGAATCCAACCAAAAGGATGAGGTAGGAAAATAGGAAAGGAAGGGAAAGAGGTTGGGATGATAGGAATCTTCACTAATTCTTTAAAATCTGCGGTTCTGCTGAGCAATTTCCAATATTATCACTTTCTAGTTTCAAGACGAGTGATTCGAACAAATACAAATAATTCACACGAAAAAACCAAACATAAACCGAAACCTTGTTTTTTAACATAAAACATTTTGTTTTTCTTAACAACCGAAACTAGGGCCGAATGTCAACGCTCTCTTTAAATTAACTAAATACAAATTATAAATTATTATGAGAAAATAAGGACGCGATACCTATGAAGTAGAAGGCAGAGTAACAGCAGAATTCGAGTTACTTTATAACTTTTACAAATCACTTTGTAATAGAATAAAATAGGAATTGTTTTATGGATTTGTATCATAACATTTAAATTCATAGTAAACAAACAGTATATGGCTCGTGTATTGAATTTACACATAATATTGTAAAATATTGCGACACATTATGAATCAGGATAACATTTCGATATCATTTTAAAGACACGTTGATGTTTAGAAAAAGAGGTCGTGCGATAAATGACAGATTTCAAACCTTGAATCTTTTATCAGTTGGATTACAATTAATAATATTATAAATGCAATATTAAAATCAGCAAATACAAAAGGACAAGTCAGCTAACTCTTGATAAACAGTAGTTGAAAATAATTACGACTGCCATTAATTTACAGCACTCACTCACACCTTCGTCGCTCGTATAACTCTGCTTGTGTAATATAGATACTAATTAAATAATACGGATTCAGAAGTAATGAAATTTAAAATAAAAGCAAACCTATAGTTTTATTAACAATCAATGTCGTTTTTGTTTCTTCTGATAAGATGTTTGGTTATCTTTTATTTTATTAACCAAAATAATTTATAATAATTTTAATTTAACATTCAACAAACATACTCATTTTTTAAAATTGTGGTATTTTTTACTGTTGGCAAGTTTATAAATTCAAATATTTGAGATGAAGTAAAAAAAGTTGGTTTATGTATTTTTTATATTAGTAAAAATCTCCACGTGGTTTTATATAATCTCTAAAGAGGAGTAATACACATTTTGTTATCACAAAGTCCTTTAAGAATATATTTAAACATTAAACAAAACTGATTAAAATTGTTTATAAGTACAACAGACTTTCAAATTAATTTAACGGTTGTTAAAAAACAGTTTAAATGACATGTATAAAAAACCGGTATTTTTCCAATTCTTACCTACCTAATATTAGCTAAATTGATACTCCAAGTATGTAATCATAATTTTAGCTTTATTAAATAATTTTAATAAATTAATGTAACATTTACATAATTCGTAGCCTAAACAATATGCTTGTTTGATTAGACTTTTATTGCGCATTATTACATTTGATGACATAATTGTCTTCAGAAATTTGAAATAAAAAACATTAGATTAATTTTCTAATTTCCTAGAAATCAATTACACTTAAAAAATAGCAAAAAATTTTTATATTACATTCTCCGAAAAAATGTTATGTAACAAATAATGACTATTATTTTTATAAGCATCTTTATAATTCAGATTCTGAAAATTTTGTACAAAATTTGCATTGTAACGATGATTTTGCTTGTATCTTAAACCGTCCAATTTGGGTAATAATAATGACTAATAATAACACACGTGTAAAAATTACCTGTGTTTTTGACACATCTATCTACAAAAATCAAAACAAAGCACAAAAAATTATATTTTGATTTTATTTAACACTTTGTTATTTGAGCTCCTTCTTCCCACTCTAAATAGGGTTTTCAAAATAAGAGCAATTACTGATTATTTTTAAATAAAATAAAAATTAATTAAACCAAAATAAGTTTGTATGTATTTTATTACAGATTACAGCCGCGACAGTTTTAGATAATTTTAAAAGTTTTCATTTGACACTGATGTTATTTGAAAAATAAAAAACAAGTTAAGTTATCACAATGTTATTAGATCCAAAACCTATTTTCCAAATTTACGGAAATAACTTGGTTATTAATAATGATAATTAAAACAAAAAAAACTCTTTTGATTTTAATTCGTGATTGCAACAAACTAAAAAGGTAAAGTGTTTATTATGAAAACGTTATTGTACATAACCTTCATGCCTTTGATAATAATAACAATTGCATTGTTTGCAGAAATCGCAGGAATATGCAAATCACTTTATCGATAAAATAGTCACAATAAAAAACTCAAGTCCAGTCATATTTTTTATTAAAACAATATTTCGCAAATACATGACAAAGAAGCAATTAAATTAGCAAAATAAGTACAAATAGTAAATGAATACTAAAAAAAATCAAAATTATAGAGACCAATCACCCTTTTAATGTAATTGGCTGTGTAGAGCAGGGACAGAATCATCATATTGGGCTTGATAGAAATTTCCAGCGACCGGATTTCCCAGTTTGTATTTCTTTGCGAAATTTTCTGTTGAAAATTTGGCCCTGTTTCCGTTAGTGTTGCTCTTGTGCTCCTCCTGGAAGGTGATTTTCCCGGGCTGTTTGAACAAAAGGAAGACGTAGCGGTGCAATCCGGTGTCTTTCGGGGGCCCGGCGCCCACGTATTCCGTCAAAACTTGGCCTTTGGAAAGGTCAGATCCGGGGATGTTGCCCACCAACCAGTGGTTCCATTCCCTGGCTTTGGGGTTTTTGCGACTGGGGGCATCCGGATCGCTCATAACCAGGGTGTAGAAGGCGTGGGGGTCGCCGTTGTAGGTGACGGTGGGTGCGTCGCGGACATCTTTGGGGGCTATTTCGTTGCCCAGGTGCACCTCCTTGTTGGTTTTCTTGTACTCGACTTTGAGGAGTTTGGAGGGGGCCACGTGGACCACGTCGGGGGTTATTTCGAGTTTGGAGAAGGCCTGATAAAAGTTTATTTAAGAAAAAAGGAAATAGTAAAAATCTGCCAATAACAAATATTTAGACAGATGTCTTAATAAAATAAAAATTCAAAGTTCTTATTTTAAAAACTTATAATTTTGCAAATAAATAACTAAAAAAATACATGTACAGTTGCGGAATTAAAATTTCGGGCAGTATTGTCATTTTCATAATGTAAACTCTAAAACAACCTTTACATTAATAACCTCTTTTTTACTCATTTTGACTTATTTACTTTCAAAAATAGTGATTTATGGCATAATAACGGGTAGGCAGCAGATCAAAGCGATGATTTAATTACACTTAGTTTAATTAATAAATTTCCTAAGACAGACAAATTGTTTATTAACTATTTTAACAACAAAAAAAGTTTAATCGTCTAATGTCAGCCATGATGACAGTAAAGGGTAGTTCACAGTGAACTTTTTACAGTGTATATAAAATATATACAGCATAAAATTTTATTACAGTGTAATAAAATAAAAAATTAAAGTTCTTATTTTAAAAATTTATAAATTTGCAAATAAATAACTAACAAAAATAGATTGTCATTTTCATAATGTAAACTCTAAAACAACCTTAACATTAATAACCTCATTTTTTACTCTTGTCATGTTTATGTCATTTTTGACTTAAAAAATAGCCTCATTGACAGAAAAGTTAATTGTCAAATGTCAGTCAAGATGACAGTAAAAGGTAGTTTACAGTGAACTTTTTGAAGTGACAGAAAAATACTGCCCGAAATTTTAATTCCGTAACTGTACGTATGATTTTTTTAGGACATTAAACTCTCTTGTTTCTAAATTTCTTCTTGAGGAAGAAAATTTTAAAAAGAATAACTTAAGATTTTATGATAATTTAATTAAATTTAAAAACACAAAATCGTAAAGAGTTTTTCAAAATTTAATAATTTATATTTCATAAATTTAATTATATAAAAAAAAACAATTTCTTATTAAAGATCTATTGATTAAGAAGAAATCTATTTATACAATATTTTTCGTTAAGAGTCGTTAAGATATACCCAAGTAAATAAATAAATATTAGTATTTGGTCTGTTACGTAATTTCTGGAACGAAATGACAGATTTGAAAAATAACAACAAACTATTTATCTAAAATCGGAGATATTGAAGTCACAAGCATAAAGAAGTAAAAAAGTTGAAAATTTTTGAAAAAAAAAGTGGCGTGGAATCTGTTTCTAGGCGGTTAACGCGGAAGCTCTGTTTGCAAAAAAAAGTATTAATAGAATCCAAAAACTAGCGCATCATAATTAACGATAATTTAACAAAATGTTATCATTTAATTGCAAATGAAAACATGACCTTACAACGGCGTAATATGATCTTATAATCATTATTTATAAACAGACGGAGAAAAAATGTCCTCTGATAGTGAGTCTTATCGAAAAATTCGAGCATTTTAAACGAGGCTAAAGACACACAGTGCAAGGTGCACCCGTTTATATAAAGCCTGTCTTTGAGACAGACTTCTTAGTTAGATTTTTGTGAGTGAAGAAGCAAGTGAAGAAATTCTTTACCTCGACATCCTCCGACTTGCTCGAAGTTGCTGCAACTAATAACACAAAGAAAACACAGATAAAACTCTTCATTTTGTGCCGGTTTGTGTGCAACTGTACCCAACGGTAATTACAAATCATTTAAATAATCCGCATCCCACCTTAACCTCACACGTCAATTACCTGAAACGACAACAAATTTATCATCAAGGTGCGTTTTTGCGCGTTCCGGCACTGATTTTCCTCATTTTTTCCAGTCAAGTGAGTATCGGTGCTACTTTTTTGAAAATCCCGCCACATACCAGTGACACCATGGCGGCTGTTATACCTGCAGTTACGAAACTTTCCGCCCGGATTATCCGGGTTTTGGGCTGCAACCCCGGAATTATGACCCTGCAAGGGACCAACACTTACATCATCGGCACCGGAAAGAGGTGAGTTGATTTTTCACTAATAATCACGCGGAAAATCCGGAAATGCGACGTGGTTTAGTGACGGAAAATTGGGTTGGCAGGACTGCAGTCACTAGTCAAAATTGAAAATTTCACGTTTTTTATCAATTTTTCAGTGTTTTCTGTCCCTTTCCGGTCTGAAAATGGTTTTTTACTGTTGTGTGTGACCTTTTTGCGGTCTGAAAATTGTGGGAAATTAAATTCGGAACAAGGATGTGTTTTTCTGATTTTTCGAAATTCAAGTAAAAAGTTGAATCATGATGTGATAATCGGGTTCTTTGCTTACAGAGGTCAATAGATTCGCGGTTAAATTCAAGGTCTTCGCCTCTTGACTGAATTTATTAATAATAGTTGTGAAAATTTATTTTTAGGCGCATTTTGGTGGACACTGGCGATGCCGACGTCCCCCAATACATCAACCACTTGAAGAGCGTCCTCAAGCACGAAGACATCGATTTGGCCCACATTTTCATATCGCATTGGCACCACGACCACATGGGTGGCCTCCTCGACGTCTTAGACCTCAAAGACAAGACAAGTAGGTCTAATAAATTTGTCCATAACTTAAAAAAAAAACTTAAAAAACATTAATTTTGAATTAATTCTGTAATAAAATCGAGCAAAATTTTATTGAAAATAGCTCAAACTGTTTTATTTTAGAAGAAAACTTTTATTCAAAATATTATTGTGTTGAAATATTTTGATTCAGGTTAATTTCCGGGTTAAAATAAAGCCAACCCACTTGAGAAAATCAAAAATTGCTTTATTTCAGCCTAAAATTTGGATTAAAGAAATTATTTTTATAAAATACATTAATTTCGAATTAATTTTGTATTAAAATTGAGCAACATTTAATTGAAAATAGCTCAAATTGCTTTATTTTAGCCTACAATTGTAATTGAAGCAATTATTTTAATAAAAAAACATTAGTTTTGAATTAATTCTTTTTAAAATCGAGCAAAATTGGATTGATAATAGCTCAAATTGCTTTATTTTGGAAGGAAACTTCAGAAAAAGTCAGTATTTGGTTGAAATACTTTGATTCAGGTTGATTCCCAACTTCCCAAATTTATTGAAAATGTCATAAATTGCTTTATTTCAGGCTGAAATTGAGATTGAAGCAGTTATTTTTATAAAATACATTAGTTTTGAATTAATTCTGTATTAAAATCGAGCAAAATTAATTGGATTGAAAATAGCTCAAACTGTTTTATTTTAGAAGAAAACTTTTATTCAAAACATTAGTGTGTTGAAATATTTTGATTTAGGTTAATTTCGGCTTAAAATAAAGCGAAACCGCTTGAGAATATCACAAATTGCTTTATTTCAGCCTAAAATTCGGATTAAAGAAATTATTTTTACAAAATACATTAATTTCGAATTAATTCTGTATTAAAAACGAGAAAAATTGAATTGAAAATAGCTCAAATTGATTTATTTTATGAGAAAACTTTTATTCAAGCTAGTATTTTGTTGAAATACTTTGATCCAGTTTGATTCCCGGCTTAAAATTGAGACAAATTGATTGAAAATATCATAAATTGCTTTATTTCAGCCTAAAATTAAGATTGAAGCAGTTATTTTTGTAAAATACATTAGTTTTGAATTAATTCTGTATTAAAATCGAGCAACATTGGATTGAAAATAGCTCAAATTGTTTTATTTTGGAAGAAAACTATTATTGAAGCCAGTATTTGGTTGAAATACTTTGACTCGGGTTGATTCCCAACTTCAAATTGAGCCAAATCGATTGAAAATATCACAAATTGCTTTATTTCAG